TAGATCACATTGCGAGCTTTCCAAAATGTCAAAGAACTCCTTGAGATCATTCTTGAGAGGGAGAATCGAAGAGATGAAGTTGGCAATTTCTCACTTTGATTTCAAGCCATTTCATGATGAACCAAAATTCAAATTCAAACCTAGGCTGCATAATCCTTGCTTTGCAGGCCTCAAACTTGTTTCTAACTCCATAATTAAATATTTACACGGATGATAGAGCTTTAATCCAAGCTACAATTCCATAAATGGCACAAAGTTGCCATTTCCATTTTGATAAAGCACAACTTTTGCAATTGTCAACTCCTTGAGCTTTGCACTTGTTGTTTCTGAACACACAAACCCTATAAACCAAAAGCAATGTGTCTAAGACCTGTACCAACTCATATCAGGCTTGTACAAGTACATAGAGACTTGTCTCCTCACTTTTCTTCAAAAGTAAGCAATAGAGCCAAAAGGCTATAACTCAGAAATCTTGAGGAAGCTTGAGGTTTAACCTCTTCTATACTTATACACAAATGTATTGTGACCTAGAACACAATTATAAAAGCTCAGAAACTCTATATCACTGAAAACCTGCCATAACTTGCAGTTTTGCACCTTGCATAGCAATCTCAAAAACCACTCGTGCATTTTGAGTTTTAACCACCTAAACACTTAATATACATCATATCTAAGTGTCCCAGACCATTATCCCCTCACTGTAACTCCTCCTTCTCCATCGGCCATTTTTGCATTTCAAGCTTGCAGGTTGAATTGAGTAGAGGGATTCAGGAACTTTCAAGACAAAGTAAGGATTGGAACACACTCAGGGAGGTCTAGGCAAGCTAAACAGATTCTCAGGCCTTCTCAAAACTTGCTCAAACTCCATTGACGATCTCAACTGAAAGAGGTAAAAACTCAAACTTTTATCTCTTCATACAGGAATCCTTTGGTCTAGATTTGTAAAAATAAAATGTAGATATCCTTGCACTAAATCTAACCACGTTCATAGATTTCATTTATATTCATTGTATATAGAGAATTTTGGATTTGAAATTTCTGTAAAAATTAGGTTTTAAATTAGGGCAAACAAAATTCTCTCTGATCTTGGACTTATAGTTTTAGCTATGCACAAGGTTAGAATCGTGAGATAAAATGCTATAATGTTCATGTTATCACTTTCCATTTTTGTTGAGAGATGAAATAGTTACAGGGGAAGGAAGCGTTTTATGTTATGTATTTTTATTTTCATTTGAACTAACGGATGTACAACCACCCTAGTGGCAAGGCAACGCGCAGAAATACCCTTGGTCACGGGTTTGAGCCTTGGCGCTGCCTTTTCCATTTTCCACATTTCTCCATCTTTTTTTGTTGTTTACAGCATGGGCTTTTGGACAACTGGGCCCTATGTTTTTTTTGCTAATCTCTCACCCTCCATTTACTTTCAGCACCCCTGGTCCAAATGTTTTATTTAATATTTTTATTTTCATAATTATTTTTATCAAATATTTTTATTAATAATATAAAATCATAAAAAATATAAAAATGATAAATTTTATATTTTGTTTATTTTATGTTATTTTCTCATAAGAAATATTTTTTATTTAGTTATATATTACCTATTTTTGTCAAATAAATTTGTAAATTAAAATGAAATTAGGTTAAATATTTATTTCTTTTTTTCTCACAGTTATAAATATTTATTTTAACATATAAAAGGACCAAAATACTTCATAAATATTATTTATTATTTTCAAGACAAAAATACAAAAAAATACTTAAAGAAATTTATTTTCTTTTAACAAATTAAGATTAGGGTTAATCAAAATCTTTTCTAAAAAATATTTTTTCTTTCTTACTTAATTTAAGTTTAATTTTGGTTTATTCATTAGGCTTAGATTAAAACTCTTTTTTCACATAAAGAACAAAACAAAAATCTTTTTCTTGCATTTATATATCCTTGCATATTTGAATTGTCTTGTACATTATTTATTCCAATACTTGTATAAATTCGATTTGGTTGTAATAGATTAATTAGGTTTATATTATTGCAATTCCCGTTCATAATTTGTATACCCCCTTTCACAAAATGTTGTAATAGCATAGTAATCTTTAAATTACGCAATTTATCGCTTTTAGATAATATGTTAGTAATTAGGGTTTGTATGGCAAGATAAAACCAATCAAATAGAAAATCCTAATTCAAGACAAAATCAAGCATGAAAATGACACACTTGCACACAAGCACCCTTAGGGTTACTCCACTTGGTTTCCTTATACAAAAATGGCCATATTACGCATGTGAGGTATCTTCGCAAAACAAACAAATATAAGATCATAGCCCCTCGATGACGCTATCCAGAGTTGCCTTAAAAAATGATCTTAGTCCCTTAAAAAATGCTAAGATACTTTACAACATTGCTAATCATGGTTATACGATGACCCACGCCCGTCCCGTTTACATCCAGGGGTAGGGTTGCTTACCAAATCAATGGTAAGACAACAATATCAAAGGAAAAGAAAATGAACAAGAAAGACATTTGAGTAGGTAGTTTGGACTTAATTAATTGCTCCATTTCAAACAAATATCCTTGCTATTTTCAAAATAAACACACACACTTCCAAACATCTTACAAACATTGAAAACATTTTCAAAAAGACAAAAATCTTTGTATACATTCTTACGAGCGAGAATCATTACAAAGATTGCCTAAACAATGGCCTCTTTTACAAAATACTTTTAAAACCATACAAAAGCACAATTTCAAACAAAAGAAAGTGATCTAAGCAAGTAACTAAGAGCCCATGGAAAACCATGGATGAAAAGGGTGCTAATACCTTCCCTTTTCATAATCTACCCCCCGAACTCAAGAAACAATCTCAAAGGTCTTTCCTGTGCTTTTTCACCTTTCCTTTTGGATAAAAGAAAAGTCGGTGGCAACTCTTGCTAACCACAACATTTGCGATAAAACGCAAAACCTTCAAGTCAGTTCTCCCACCGTATCACAGTTGTCTTTGTAATGTTTATTTCTATAGTCTTGGCCATTCATTAGGTTACATAGAAGTTCTGGAGGCAAGTTTTCATATGGTAGGTCAACTACTCCTTTCACACAGCAGAGGGAAAATTTAACATTTATGGTTGTGTTGTCACATTTGTCGGACCGCTCCTCATACCATATTCGGGCACCACAATGAGAACAATTATACGACAGAGCTCCAAAATCCAGAATTTCTGATGTGATACAAACAAACAAATAAGTAGATGATGCATAATTGTATGACAAATTGTTATTTTTATAGTTAAAAATACATCATAATGGAATTTCAATGTCTGTTCACCTTGAGATTAAGCTTCCTCGTATTTGTTGTGGCGAAGAACTCCTGCTGGTCATTTACATTTGAACATACTGTGAAAAATTATTGCCATTAATAACTTTTAAGTAATAAACCATTCAAATTCACCTAATTGGTAAAGAAAAAACATACATGAAACGTTAACGGGATCTGTATTTGAATCTTCAGTTCCAGGAAAATTGGAGGTGAAGGAAGGGATCGACTCAAGAACACAGGTAGGTTGACGTACACGTTTGGAAAGTTGCACGGAAGTTGGATTTATTATTTTTGAAAGAGGTGTGCACGAATTAGATAGTAGTGGTTGCTTACGTTTGGGGAAAAATGTACAACCATCATTCTCAATAGCAGCACTTGCTTCAGTATTCACATAAGTTGTTTCACTGCCAGCTGTAACATATTACAAATTACAAAATTAAGAATAGACAGATTTGTATATAATAAATGGACAACATTGTAATCAAATATATGGAATATAAAAGTGATGTATAGAATTTACATGTTATCAATGTAGACAATGGAGTTCTCAGAGCAGGATGTTGTACACAAGATGAACCTCCAAGTTCGATGGTATGCATAAGAGGTGTAATATTTTCGTCTAACATAAAAGAGCATAAATTTATATGTCAGATGGTATAGTAAAACTGTTATTATGTCTGGTTCAATTTACAAACCTGTGAATTTCAGAATACGTTTAGATTTTTTCCTTTGCAATATCATCTTCCTCCGATGCCTGACATTTGATGATCCATTTCCATCCATAGACAACGATTTATATTACTACATGTACAATATGAGTGAGTGATGGAATAGATGTGTAAAAAGGATCTAAAATATATATACACTATTATTTAAGTGTGTGTGCGAAAGAATATCAAAAGTTAGAAGCAGTTGTTGAGGAATGACATTGAAACTGTTAAGTATATTAATTGCAACAGGTTCCCAAAAAAGTTGTCAAGCCTTTAATGTACAACAAAAAAATGATTGAATTAGTAAGAATTAATGCAAATACAACAGTCGAAGTTGATTGAGTTGTTTATTATTATCACACTTAAACCCAAGGAACTTCACTAATTATCGTTTTTAAACTTATGCAAACATTTGCATCATGAATATAACTAAGATAAAATATATGTGTACATTGTACATGTAGCCTTCAAAGTTGTTCAGTGCTTGATGAATCACACTATAACATGAAATCTATACAACGTGCAAAATGTTAATCATAGTTGGTATAGAATTACATACCTGCAATCTGTTATCGTTAGTTAAGTTGTTTCCTCTAATTCGATGGACTACTGACATTAACCTTTTTAAATGATTGCTACTAAACAGACAACATTAAAAAATACTAACAAAAGTAGATATATGAAATGAACAGAATATCAGGAAGAACAAGAATACATTATTGATTAACACACTTAACATATTTGTATTGTTCCAAAATGGATTAGCATAACAAGCTCGACAACGGAATATGGTTAGACAATACCAAAAGTAATCCAAGTAAAATAACAAACAACACCAGAAATTATAACATAAACCAAAAGTTAAATACACAAATTCAGGCTTAACACACGCCCCAAAAATCAAACACGTGAATCATCCAAAACATTTAAGTGGGAACATACTATTGATATAAAAGAAGACTAAAAGAAGACACATGCCAATCACTCCTTCTCAATCTTAATGTTTTTCGTAATTCTTGAGCTGGCTCCATCATTTTCATCAGCAACTTCATCTATGCCCATTTTAATAGGAGTGCTTTTAGAAACATTTTATTCAATAAGTTTGGACTCCGAACCATTATCTCCACATTTCTCCTCAGCAGCAATGTTGTCAAACTTGTTGCCTAAATCTTGAACCACAACAGGATCTATGTCATTATGAACAACACAACAGCTAAATCATCCTTAACACCACCAGAGTTCTATATTAAACATACATTGAAATTAATAAACATTGTATGAAGACATATAGTAAAGTTCAACTACAACGATACGCAACTATGTACGACAATATATAATATCTGAACAACATTTTTGAATTTAGCCATGATATTTTGGCCAGGACACAATTTTTTGACACGAAAAGACTGTTCAAACCCAAAGTTCACGTCATAGTTCCCAACAATCTTAAAGAGCATAGTTTGTTCAACCAATTCACCAATAACCGTTGGTAAAATGGTTTGCTCACCAGCCTAAAATCTGAAATGTTACAAACAGAAAATATTAGATAACATCTAACAATACAACCTAAAATAGGTAATGAATATGTGTAAGAATGAAACACTCACACAATCCATTTGATCAATCAAGTCAGCATACATTTTTTTTAGCAGATAGCAATCACGATCAAAAACTACAAATGTGGTAGAATCAGTTTCATCAATCACCCTGAGTTTGATACGGTACGTGTATATGTAATCCATAATCAATAAAAATAAACAATCATTAACAAAGTATAAACATAGTTAACAATGAAATACCTTGGCACAATTGTCCAAACATGCTTTTCGCACTTAGTGCAGAAAATCCTTTTAGAGTCTGTAATAACACCCTTGTTGTAGACACATGCAACATACCACCAATCGTTGCCACCAATAACATGTTTGATTGTCCCTAACACAATACAAACATAAACAATAATCATTAACAAAGTATAAACATAATTAACAATGAAATACCTTGGCACAATTTCCCAAACATGCTTTTCGCACTTAGTGCAGAAAATCCTTTAGAGTCTGTAACAACACCCTTATTGTAGACACATGCAGCATACCACCAATTGTTGCCACTAATAACATGTTTCATTGTCCCTAACATAATACAAAAAATATTCTACAGAGGAAAAACAATTATGTTAAGTTAACAAAATAAAAAGTAGACAAACCAACTCAAGTAACTTTTGTATAAATTGATGGCAAATTATTACATCTTGACAATCCTTCAGTTCCTCAATAGTTTTGCGCCGACTCAATTTCAAAAAATCTTCTTCTAAACTCATCTCTGAAGTATCTTTCATATAACTGAATGGTTGTGTAGGTCAATCAATGTCATCGCGGACCTTCAAATTATTTGCCTCAGGAATTTTAGGGTTGAACAAAAGCTTGGTAGAGTTCATTGCATTTTAAAGTTGGATCTTTCCATTATACATTTTCACTTTCAGATACTGAGAAATGACAATAACATTTCCATTACATCCAAATTGCAGAAAGGCGTCAAAGGCTTCAACATACGATCCAAATTGCAGAAAGGCGTCAAAGGCTTCAACATACGATCCAAATAGCGTGCACTCAAGCTTTATTCTACATGAGTTATAAAATTTAACCAGACAAACAATTAGAGTATTACATAACAATATACTGTATAACTCACATATAATATATTACCCATTAGATTCCAACTCAATAAATTTAAATTTAGTAGCTACACGATTCCTTTCATACACCCTTTCACGACCAACAGAAGACAAAATACTAATAACATCTGGGAAATATTTAAGAAATTAGAATGTTAGATGCACAACTATAAAAATATATGAAAAGACATGAAAAAAATATATTGAAACATAAGGTATAATACCAATCAAGTAGTCCATGTCTATTTTGCCAAAAATATATGTAAAAGATACAAACGAATAAGGTGATAATGTTGTCATTCCAGTTCCAACATATGTGATAATCGTGCCATTATGAAAATTCAATTTAAATTGGTGTTTCGTAGTCCTAAACGCTCCAGTATTAGCAACGACACCAAATGACTTGAAATTATACGAAGATCCCTCCTTATTTTTATTCTCAAATCGAGGCAACAAGACTTTTCTAACAGAAACTTGGATTTTGTCACCCTATCAAATAACAAACAATATACAATTTCGTGTATCTCAGTATAATTTTTTTTATTACAATTAAACTTAAACGATAATTGAAACAAACATACCACCTTATCATCCATGAGAACCATTTCCATAGAAAAATATTTCCGTTTCACATTTATGTCTGGTACGAACCATAATCAGACAACTCGAACCGCAATGTTTCACGACTCTTTTGCAGGAGTTATTTCGTTAACAAAGTTGACACCTCTGAAAGCCATGAACAAACCTAACATAAAAAGATGGATGCAAAATCGTGAGACGTGAATAACAATTATAACAACTATGAAGAAGAAATCCAATTTATTTACAATTTGTGATGAATAATACCTATTTATATCTACGAATTTCATATGGATTTCGCACAAAACAACATCAATTAAACTTGTGATTCATGATCTTACATGGGAAACAAAATTCATTGATGAGCAGAATTTGAAATCGTCTCTTAGATCCATCTGAATACATGAATCAGGGTTTGAAAAACAGGAAGAATTTATTGTCTGATATACAGAACATTGCATTGTGCACTGGAAGACGAAAAATTAATTTCTAAGGGAAGTTGAATGGTTGCAGGTGTAGAGAACATTGCATCCGTGTCTTGATATTAATGAGAGAAATTTAAAAAAAAAAAAAAAAATAATAATGATAATACATTAAAAGAAAATTTCCATTTATATCAATAATATAAATAAAAGAATACATGAGAGATTGTCAAACGACAAACTTGACAAAGTGATCATCTTAAGTTATTATATTGTATAAATAATTAGAAATATGTTATCATATTTAAAATTCATTGAAGAACTTTACTAACTTTACTATTAAGTAACGATTAAAGCAATTACGAAAAGTAAAATCTCTAATTTTATTTTAACTAAAAAGTTATAAGAGAAGAAAAAAAAAGGAAGGAAAAAAAGTTGGAGAATAATCTTTTCAATTAAACATTAAGAGGTTTCATGTTATATCAAATCAATAAACACTAATTTAAGTTGATTAATCAATTTACTGAATACATATTTTTTTGTATTTTACATAAAATATTTTAAAATAAGGGAATATTTGTTTCAAGAATTCATAAAAGATTATTAAAAATAAGTTGTTTGAGAAGAAAAATATGAAGATTTAATTCCTCAATATTTTTCTAAATATTTGTTTGACATATAATTTGATATTTCTTGGAAACCGAATAGTTATATTTTTTTTCAAAAAATTTATGTGAAAGGTAGGATTCATGGTAATATGCCGAGCAAAGTTGTTATCATAATATAAAAGAGTTGGTGGTAAAGTTTGATTCAATAAAGGAGTTGGATGAGGAGAATCACATGGTAAGTATAAGTTGGGGATTAATAGAGTATATGCAGGTTGTGATGGTTTATCATAAAGCAGTTCAAAGGAATATTTGATTTGTAAAATGAGACTAGATAAATCTATTGATTTAACTAAAAAACAAGAAGAACTGCATAGGATCAAAAAGTATTAGGGAACTTTTGCATGAAAAAAGGCTTCCAATAACATTAAGTATGACCAGGCTTACAAAAACATTAAGTATGATCATCAGACTCTTTTTTTAAATAGAAAATGTTTAAATTTTTTATAAATGTATTTAATTAAAAATATTAGGTCACATGCCCTAAAAAAACTTTTTAAATTTATAAAACTAATCTATTTAAATAAATATGAATATTTTTATTATTTTTATTATTATTATTATATAGTGTTTGTATTTTAAATTAAAATAGAAAAATAAAATTTATATGTCTAGAAAGACTTATGAAAATACTCTAAAAAAATTTATAAAAAATATTGTAAGTTGTTTTCATAAATTTTTTCAAACAAATAATATAAAAAATATATATTAATAAGTAAACTTGAATAAGTCAATACAAATAAATATCTAATCTAATTAAATTTTTTTATTTGTTAATCTATTTTAACATTAGTATAAAATAGGTTTTATATAATTTAATAGGCCAATCAAACTTCTGAAAAAGTCATACTCAAATATAAAAATAAATCTTTAATAAGTCACATGTTAAACTTATATTTTAAAATTTTTAGTAGATCAAACTCAAATTTAATAAAGACTAAGTTGACTTAACTTGACTTAAGTTAATCTATTTTCTTCTTACATATAAGCAATAGAGAATGGTCCTCAAATGTCTAACATAAAGTAAATCAAAAGCATGTAAAGTAAAAGAGGAACTTTAAGGAAGGTAATTTGTTTTGTTTCGCATAACGACAAAGGGTCGCAAATTCTTTTACTATCATATTTGACATAAGAAAAAACAGTACACAATTGGTCAAAGACCTTATTGGATTTTAAGACCTAAAGGGAAATATCAAGTATTGAAAGAAGAAATTATATTTTTTACGAAAAAGTAAAAAGAAGATATACTCTTGAAATCATTAACATTTGTATCATGTTTAAAGGGTGATCTATTAAACCCCAAGATTTTCAAACCAAAAAAACTATTTATAATGTCAAGTGAGAAATCCAATAATTCAAATGATATAATCGATTATCATAAGACTGTAATTGGTTATACTTGTACTGAAATAATAGAAAGGCTAAAATAGAAAGTTTTGCTCGAGTGTGTAACTGGTTACGCACGCATTCGCAGTAATCGATTACCATTGTTATGTTTTTGTTTTATAGAATTAATTGTAATCCGTTACATGTTTTGTGTAATCGGTTACAGGCAGTTAATTTTAGTTTTTAGCTTTTGTTACTTGTATCTCAATCCATTGTAAGTTGTATAAATATTTGGAGGTATTAATGAATAAGATGATGCACATTTCTCACCCTCAATTACTATCTCTAATTCTCTATCTATCCCCCCCTATCTGTCTCTCTATCCATATTCAATTACTCTATTTTTACCAATCTCATGATTTTGAGTTCTAACATTTGACATCAAAAGCCTAGTTCGATCTACCAAACACCTAGTGTGCAACATAAATTTTGTCTGCAATGAAAGAATCCATGCAAACATATCTATCCTTGATGCAAAGAATTGCGACAAATGATACAAGAAAATGAAAGTCTTATTTGGCTACCAATATATTATTTAAGTGATCACTAACGAAGTGAGTCCTCTTCTCGAAGGTGCAACAAATACAAATCAAGCAACTCATAAGGAAGAAAAGAAGAAGGATTTCAAGGCATTGTTTTTAATCTATGAGTGCGTTGATACATATAATTTCGAGAAAGTTGGTGATTGTGAATCATCGAAGCAAGCGTGGGAAATCTTGGAGAATGCATACGCATGGGCTGGCAAGGTGAAAATTGTGAGGTTACAAACCCACAAACGTCAACTTGAGTTGATTCAAATGGAAGAAAATGAGATAATAAATGATTTTACGACGAGGATTAATCGGTTGGTAAACCAAGTAAAAATATGTGGATAAACGATCACAAAGCAATATGTTATCGCGAAAATCTTGTGTTCTTTGACGGCAAGATTCGATAACATAGTCGTAGCGATTGAGGAATCGAAGGATCTTGCAATGATCAACAAATAGGAGCTATAAACCTCTCTTAAGGCTCATGAGCAAATGATGGAGGAGAGAAATAGTGATAAGGCAAAGGCAGAGGTCGCTTTGCAAGCTCGTTTCAATGAGAAAGACAAGAAGTTGAAAGGAAAAAGGTCCATGAAGAGTAAGGGAATTTCTGAATTTTGGTGGAAGAGAATCCCAAAATTCCAAGAATTTGGCTTGTCAAAAGGGTGAGAGCAGCTGCAACAAAAATGGTGGTCAATGCAACTTTAGAGGTGAAAGGACAAGGATTAACATTACCAAGATGCAGTGATATGTTTGTCAAAAGTCCGATCATTTTGCAAAAGAGTGCAATGCAAATAAGAAGGAACCTCAAGTGGATGAAGCCAAGGTTTTAAGAAAAGAGTTTGATGATGAGAGCACACTCTTGATCATGATAACAAAGGGGGAATACAACATCAATGGGTTGCGGGATGACAACAACAGTTTTAGAAATGGTGTAGAACCATGTTGTAACCGGTTACGTAAAAGTTGTAATCAGTTACAGGCCAAAGAAAACATAATGATGACTATGAAAGAGGAAATTCAATGCACTAATTAATGGTATTTGGAATCTGGATGTTCTACTCATATGACATGGAGGAAAGATTGGTTTGTCACAACTAATCGTGCCATGAAGAACAAAGTGACGTTTGCGAATGACACCACTCTAGCAGAGAAAAGGATTGCTGATGTATCGATCGAGAGAAGGGATGATAGAGATTGTTTGATAAAGGATGTGTTGTATATTCCAGAAATCAAGTGTAACCTTCCAACTATTGTCCAATTGCTTGCGAAAATTTACAACATTCTTATGGAGAATAAGGTGTTGCGCGTTATGATGCAAACAAGGTATTGATCATAAAAGCTCCTATGGTGGACAATAAAACTTTAAAAGTGGAGTTGAAGGTTATAGAGTATAGATGTCTTGATACTACAGTTAGTCGAGAAGAGTGGATATGGAACTATCGTCTTGAGCATCTCAATTTATGAGATCTTAATGCATTGCAAAATAACTAAATGGTAACCGAGCTGCCATTGATCAATATACCGACTAAAATTTGGGAAGAATATGTGCAAGAAAAGCAACATACATGTAAATTCATCAAGGATACATGTTGTAGAACCAAGCATCATGTTGAGGTGGTATATTTGGATGTGTGTGGACCGATGCTTTTAACACCATGTTTCCTCGTTGATAATTTAACTAAAAATCAGAGTAAATTAACTCATAAACTAAAACATCAAGAATAGGATGCCACATCTTCGTACATCATACATGCTCATATAAAAAGATACGCAACACATAGTCACTTATTCATCATGTCTGAACTTCATTTCATTTATTCACAGCGGAAAACATCACAAGTAATTATTCTCAACGTGAGTGATAGTTATCATAATTCAAAATTCAACGTAAAACATCAATTAAATCCAACAAATGGAGTTTTATAATAGTTTACTCCCAATATAATAAAACAAATGCAAAACTCCCAAGTGTTATGTATCAGAGATGACACTGACTCAATCTACACAAAATAAGGCACTTCTCATCTAA